GAAAAGTAAACCCAAATAAATTCATAAACACCAAATCCCATAACATTTGTAGTGAAGAGCAGAAGAATCAAAATAGAGGATTCTTGGTCCAGTTAGAAACACAACCAAAATCATCTAAACCAGTTGATTTGCTGATCCGCAAAAGTATTACAATGTTTCCAGTAAATCTTGAAGAGTGCTAAATTGATCAAGCCGTTAATCCCCAAAGTAGCAAATATGTAGTTGATTCAAAAATCCTCAAATGTAGTAAAAAACTAAGTGCAGAAAAAAGCTTCCAGAAACTCTTGATAATTGCTAAAGTGCTCCACTGAAATTCTTCAATTCAGTCAATATACTGTTCCCTGCATAAATGTTAGTCCAAATACACAAAAAGTAGCAGCCGATTAGTCCATTCCTTGCAAACCGTGGCAAGGAAAAATTAGAAATTAATGAGAGGATTAAGATCATCCATAACCCGAGAGAACATCCCGGCCAAATTAACCGCCCAGGATGGGGCGAAATAATGATATGCTTTGGTATTAAACCATATTGCAGTCATGGTAAAGTACAACATTTTTTCGGTATAGCTAAATGCACATAAAGCTAAGTTGCAGCTAATATAATATATAGAATCATTAACAAAATTCAAATGTACGTTTTCTATTTAACAGTTATTCCTATAGTGTAAACGAATGATTTTCCTTAAAACTATCAAGCCTTTTCATTATTTTGAAGTCCTATCAGCATCATACGTTTGGAATGAATTCCTGATGAAAGACAAAGATTAATCATCATTAATAGAATGTTTGTTTTCTTTCTAAAATGAATGGTTATTTTTATTCATTTTGTAAATGATATACGAAAATATTAAAAATGTGAGGATTGAAATAATCATAATTAAGAACTAAAGTTAAGATCAAAGCATAAAATTAACTATAAAATTTAGTAAAAACTAAATATAATTATAGACATGCTAAAACAAACTTTTTGATCTTGTGAGGTGACATGGTGGAGAGTGATGTCTTTGGATGTAATGTGATTTCAATATGCTTGGTTATGACATGAAAGATTGGATTGATTGCGAGAGCGACGGCGGAGATGTTGTCAGAATAGATGATAGTGGGAGAAGAGGAAGGATGCCAAACTCTTGGGTTAGATTTCGTAGCCAGATGACGTCAATTGCAGCGGCGGCAAGGGCGCGACACTCAGCTTCTATGGATGAACGAGCAATTGTTTTCTATTTCTGTACAATCCATTTGACGAGATTATTACCCAATAATGAGCAGTACTCAGTTGTAGTACGTCTGTCTTGCTGATTACTAGCCCAATCAAAATTGGAGTAAGATTGGAGATCTGTTGGGGAGAAACAAATGACATGATCTGATGTCCCCTTGAGGTAATGGAGCATGTGTTTAAGGATTTGAAAATGGTACAGTAGATGGTTATGCTATGTTGACAAATATAGTTTACTGCGAAGGCAATATCGGGTCTTGTGATTGGGAGGAACTTGAGTGTGCCAGCTAATTGTCGGTAATATGTTGGATTGGGAAATGGTTGTTCGGAGGAGGAGTTAGTTTTGAGTTTAGTCGGTATGGGTGTAAGGATGGGTTTGCACTTTGTGAAGCCGGTTTGGTGGAGGATGGAGTCTATGTATGCAGTTTGAGTGAGGAAGTAGCCATTGGTTGAGCGAGCAATTTGAAAGCCAAGTAAAAGTTAAAACTTGGCCATGTTCTTTCAGCTGAAATTGAGATTTGAGATCCTATAGGATGCAAGAAATGGTAGTAGAGGCATTACCATTAGGAGAATGTCTTCGACGTAGATCAAAAGATAGAGATGGAATTGATTGCAGGTGTAGAGGAGAAGTAATGGATCAATTGTATTGAATGTGAACCCTTTGTTGATGAGCTAAGAGGTGAACGTCAAATACTGTTAATGTGTGGCATGTTTTAGGCCATATAAGGCCTTTTTAGTAAGCATGTGTGATGAGATGTAGAACATCTTAGAAATTTTAAGGCTGGTTCATTTAAGTGACGCCTTCAAGGGGGGCATTTAAGAAGGCATTATATATGTTAAGTTGGATGACCTATCACTTGTGAGAGAGAGAAACAATAAGTAGTATGCAAATTGTAGGTATTTTGGCAACTAAACTGAATGTTTCCATATAGTCGACCCCTTTATCTTGGTTGAACCTTGAGCAACCAACCTGGCTGTATATTTTGAGATTGACCCATCAAAATGACATTTGATTTTGTAAGTCCAATGGCAGCCTATAATATTTTATTGAGGTAGAGGAGAGACATGGACCCAGGTACCTTGTTATTGGAGGGCCTGAAATTCAGATGACATGGCTTTGCGCCAATGCTTATGTTGGACAGCTTGGGAGAGGTAGGTAGGTACCCATGAGGTAGGGGTACGGATGTTGGGGTCAAGAATTTGTTTGGGTTTAGAGTGATATGTTTTGGATCACGTGAGCATTGGATGTTGATATGGGAGTGTAGAATTGTGATTGTTGCCTATAATATTTTATTGAGGTAGAGGAGAGACATGGACCCAGGTACCTTGTTATTGGAGGGCTTGAAATTCAGATGACATGGCGTTGTGCCAATGCTTATGTTGGACAGCTTGGGAGAGGCAAGTGGGTTCCCATGAGGTAGGGGTACAAATTTTGGGGTCAAGAATTTGTTTGGGTTTAGAGTGATCTTTTTTGGATCACGTGAGCATTGGATGTTGATATGAGAGTGTAGAATTGTGATTGTTGTCTAGTACGTAATGGGAGGGTGAGACGTAGCTGATGATAGAGGAGGAGAGGATGTCGTAGGCGGGAGGGGTGGGGGAGATAATGGAGTTGCGACATTAGGTGTAATTGTAGTAGGTAGCAGAAGAGACGAGGGTCTATTTGTTGGTTGATCTGATTTACGAGAAGGGATGGATGAATATGAAAAGAATTGCTCATTGAAGTTAATGTGTCGAGAGATGAAGGTTTTGTTAGATGACGGTTGGAAGCATTTGTAGCCCTTGTGGTGAGATGAGTAGCCAATAAAGATGCATGGCAGTGCAGTTGGATGTAGTATATGTGGTATAAGGAGTTTTTGTCATGAAAAGCATAGACATCCGAATACTTTGAGGAGATTGTAGGAGGGTTTGGTGTGATGAAGTTCATATGGGGTTTTCAGTTGTAGATTTCGGCTTGGCAACCTGTTGATGAGATAAGCTGCAGTAAGTTGAGCATCAGTTTAGAAGGAGGGTGGAAAGTGAGCTGTGAAGAGGAGTGTTCTGGTTGTTTCAATGAGATGTTGATGCTTCCATTCAGTGACTCCATTATATTGAGGAGCACAGGGACAACTTAGCTGATGTAAGATGCCATGAGTGGAGAGATATTGTTGTAAAATTTGGGATTTGTATTCATCACTCGCATCCGATCTTATGTTTTCATGTTTATGCAAAAATGAGCTTGAATTATTAAAGGATTGTATTGCATAGTTCGGGATAATAGATTGCACAAGGTCTCTCTTATGTGCAATTTGTTACCCTGAACTATGCCATACAATACTTTAATAACCACAAGGAAATCGTCACAAGCAGTTCAAGGCAAATGCAATATAGAAACATGTCATTTTATTTCTCAACAACTGAATTACAAAGTACATGAAGCTTTGAGTAATCAATTTCTGGAGCAACATATATCAAATATAGAATGAGCCTAAGCATAATCTCTTCAAATATCACTTGTTGATAGGGGCATAGGGTGAATTCCATCAACGTCAACAAGCATGTAGGCTCCTCCCTCGTAGACCTTCTCAATCGCGAACGGTCCTTCCCATGTAGACACAAATTTATCGTGGCTACGATGGTGAGATACAATTAGATGGCGTAAAACCAACACCAAGTCTCCAACCATAAAGGTATGGGGCCTCATGAGCTTTTAATGGGTTGTAGCCATGCGAGCATGGTATAACTTAAGGCTCTATTGGGCTTGTAATCGCAACCCCTCTATGTTATTGAGCTCTTCCAACCTAAGTCATCTATTATCATTGTTGTTT